AGTTTTGGAACCTAATAATCAAGTTTTAAGTTGATTCTAAAAAGTTTAGAAAATATTTTGAACTACATTTAACATTTTATCAATAAAATCTATTTTTTCCTATGGTATGATGGAAGTTGTTCATATCATTAAAATTAATAAAAAAAATATATCTTAATTAGAAGATAACTCAAATTCTTTCATCATTAGAAATTATATCCAAGACGTATGCCTTCAAGCTCATTGACCTAGAATTCCTTGGAACCCATGGCTCTAATACTAATATATGATCGATAGGAAATTTATGATGGAGGCAACAACTTAGGCTTCATTTGGGACGAATTTTTATTGCTTTCTAAAACGGAGTTCTAGTACAAAAATAAAAATTTTTGTACTAGAACTCCGTTTTAGAAAGCGATAAAAAAGCCATCCCAAACGAAGCCTTAATTTTTAAGAGTGGGAAAAGATAATTATGTACTCACCAAAGCCATAATAGAACATTGATAAGAGATTAGAGTATCCACCATGCCATTCAATATGAAATTTTCATAAGAAAAAAAATAAATTTTATTCCATTAATCTGTAAGTATAAAATAAGGTCTTATTTATAGAGCGAATTATTACGTCCGGTCACCAGACGTCCGGACATCCAATCCAGACGCGCCACATCACCCAAATACACTGGGACCCGGTGTATTTTGGTGAATTGGCACGTCTGGATTGGTGTTCGGATGAATCCAGACACAGGACGTAATAATTTGCCTATTTATAGGCCCTTTCTGAGTCTAAACAACATTATAAAGCCATAAGAGCCAATAAACTACTATTATAAAGATTTATGATTTGCAATAGTATAAATAAAAAGGAAATATGAAAAATAAAAAAAATATAGCATAAAAAATATGATAATTTAGATGGGCCAAATAAGACAAGTATAATAGACTTGAAATCAAATAAATTTTAATGAAATATTTTTCATTTCTTAACCGAGTGGCTAACCTACCCATCAAGAGACCTTAAATTAAGTTTTTGATTATTTTTCAATTTTTTTAGAAAGCTTATGCATCATACATGAGCTTACATAAAGAGTTGTGTATAAAAAAAATGGCTCAAATCTCGATGCAGTGCATTAGTTTGTAACATTGTCCTTGGCCATTATTTTGATGTTGCATCACATACATGCTTAAAAATGCTTCAAAATTCACATCTTCCTTATTAGAGTATCCTTCACACCTTCAAACTTGTGACTTCCTTCACACTGTCACCCAATAATAGTTTGTTTGTTGCTATTTCTTTTTCTTTAATTAGGGAAGAAGTACCACAAAATGCATCAAGACTAATAGAGGATTGTATGTTAAAATTAGATAAAACACGAAAGCAAATTTCATCTATCTAGATGATCATAAATGATATCTCCCAACATCTAACTTTAATTGAGAGAAAATTTTAGTTGCATTTATTTCTTAAATGAACATTAGAAGGGATTATATTCTACTAGGATAATTTACAAGAATGGTCTGTCAAGATGAATCAATTTTTTTGCATACTATAATATGTCCAATAAGTAGTGTTTTATAATTTAATCAATTTATATAGATTATTTTACATTATGTTATCATCATTGGATGTGATTGAATAAATATTTAGGTTTTTGAAATTGTTTCAAGCAAAATATTCTAACAAAATTTTCCCATACCCTTAACATTATCAAACATTCTCATCATTCTCAATCTTGTATTATGTGGACGATACCATCACAAGTTTATTTGATAAAATGACTATAGAAGAGTTGGAAGTGCAGATGATTATATTAAAGCAACCTATACACATGACTAGTCAACTTGAATTACAATCAGGGGAATGATTGCCACCTTTATGGTCACAAAGGGATCAACTCAAGAATTTCCTTAGGTGCATATTAGCCAAGTATTTCTCGTGTGATTTCCTTATTGTTCAAACAAATAAAATGAACCCCTTGAGAGATTGTCATGGATTGGATGATAAACACCTTTGTTAGATCAAATAGAAAATTTCACCTTAAAGGCAAGGCCATTTGTGAGATTGGAAGTAATGTTGTGAATCTAAGTAGGATACTAAGATGCCATTTTGTAATTAATAGTTGGTTAATTAGTTAGATTAATTAGCTTGAGATAGTGTTGCGTTCTACAAATACCCTCATTTTGGGAGGATGATGATATGAAAAAAATAATAAGTTGAAAATTTGATCTATTTTTCTTATTTTTAGAGTGATAAAGCTGCTTTAGATTATCTAATTAGGACATTGAATCCTAAAATTTGGTGCTCACCAAATATTACTCTCCAAGATCTTAATTATAACATCTTAAGTTATTCTATCACTGTAGAAATTATGAGAAAGAAGAGATATAAAATGCAAACTTGTTCAAAAATGTTCCATAACATTGCACTCCTCAAATGATGGTTTTTATAGAATTCAATCAAACAACTATTAACTACTAAACATTCACTTAATATCCTTTTTAGATTCACATTATAAGGGTTTTTGCTTCCCATGTAAAGAATAATCCAACAATTTTTTTTATTCCCCATGCAAATGTGTCTAACATATAATCTAATTTGAGTGTAGCTGAATGAAAATTTAATTTTATGATGACAGTCATTTAGTGGAGTCAGCTTTTTTTAAATAGGGCATAAATTGATTTAAAAACACCATTAATACATTTCAAGAGATATCTATAACTCCAAATCTTAAAATTTTATATTGGAAAGATTTATTTTTTTTTAAAGTATGTTTATGTAAATAATGATACATGATATAAAAAAAGTATTCTAAGATTTTGGAAGGGGCACTTGTCCCTTTAGCACCCCCCACCTTCCCTAAATCTACCTTCCATTCATTTTAAGTTACATAACTATTTATGTGATTGGATAATACTTTAATAATTACTTGGCAAAGAATCCTTTGTGGCCATGCACATTTCAGGGTGGGCAATTTTAATAAATAAGAAGTTTCCTTTAGTTAATTTTACCCCTCATATTCTATTTTTTCTTTTGAGAAGATTATACATTGACCTCTATATTTTCCCTCTACATAGAAAATTCAAAAGCATTCTTTTATTATTTTTTACTATTAATTTTCAACTTGTTTTCAATGAAGTACAAAGTTATTAACAACTCCCTTTAAAAAATAAATATAGTAACTTGAGACAAAGCAATAACAAAAAGTTAAGATAAACTACAAACAAAAACCTAAGATACTTCTTTACCTCTATTGTTTGAGGTAGGACAATTAATTTGGTTCTAGAAAATGATCTATAAAAAATTGTTCATAGTTTATTATACTTTTTTAAATCTTTTTCTTGTTCAACTCAATTCATATTAATGTTCATGTAATAGATATTCAGTTAGGGATTCCAAATCCTTTACATTAAATTTAGAGTTTTTACTATATTTAGGGTTTACTAAATGGATCAATATTTTAAGAGAAAAGAATGAGTAGAGATTTAAAGTGACAGTTTCGTGCTTATCGAAGTTTTTGACCTTTTATTGAAGATATGATTTCAACAAGATGGATATAATTCAAAACAAATATTTAAAAGTAGTAATGCAATATTATAAAAAAAGTACAGAATATGTCGAGAAGCTTATAAGCATAGCTCAATTCATTGGTTATAATAAAATATAAAATTTTGTCTTGAATTATGTCTTGTTTAAAATTTTCTTATATTTAAAAGAATATTTGGTTCTGCCTAACCCCTGTTATAGCATTATATCATATTTAGTGGTTGTTTATTTTGAGGCATTAATAGTATAAAGTAAAATGAATTCATGAGCTTTTGAGTTTTCATAGGAGCATAAGCACTTATAATATTAACAATCTTATCATCAACAACAATCTTTAAAGCTATAATTCTATCTCCAATCCTATTAATTTTTATAACATTATCCTTTAAACTCTTATCTAAAATAACACCTACACCATTTCTAGTACGACTTCTACCCGAATACCGAAGTTTAAATAATAAACTATCAATTTTCATAAGTTTAATAAGTAAAATATATGCAAAGTAATTTTGTAAACTACCTAGAATACAAAAGGCTCATTGTTAATAAATTTGAAACTCCATTAAATTCCAAATTCACCATTTTTCATGCCATTAAGTGACTAGTCATATGTTCACTACTTTATGTGGGCAGCTTTGTGCCACATTTAATGCAAATTATAATTTGCTAGGTACACATGATATTATGAGATGTTGCCACAAATGCATGCTTAGGCTTTATACAAGAGATTTATTGAGGAAGATTTTGAGATTTTGAAGAATGCCTTGGATTACAAGAGTATGATATGTAGGAGGGTCTAAAGGCTTATGAAGACATGCAAAGAGGATCCTCAGAGGATCTCCTATGAAGACTTCACAAGAAGAATTCTTGAGACGATCACTTGAAATAATTATCCCTAGAGGGGTTCTCGAGAACGTTTTCTAAGAGGAGCCCTAGGGAAATATTGCTTGAACAAAGTATTAGTTGGTTAGCTAACGTCATGCTAGTGCTTGTTCATATCTTCTTATTATTGTCGCATACATGTGGCAAATGGAGATTGCATCAAATCATCATTTTTTATTTATAACTGGTGGTTAACTTGAGTAGATCAAATAATAAATATAATGCATTCAATATTTAAAAATATCATTTATTTATTTTTGAGAAAAATTGAGCGATGAAAAATAAATATGATTTGAGCAATTAAACGAGCCTTAGAGTTGGAAATAATTGTGTGAGAATATCCTATAAAAATTATATTAGGATAGGTTTAAAGATAATTAAATTTATTTTAAGACTAGTGTTAAATATATTAATAAATTATTTAAAACAAATTCAATTATTTTTAAGCGCATCTTGATATAGTTTTTTTTACTTAAGAATTAACGGCCATACAAATAAAATATTATATAGACTTTCAATATATATATATATATAATTATTTTTAACAAGTCGTTGGAATATTGCTCACATAAATAAGATAAGATTTGGATAATTGCGAAAGAGGAAAAAGGAAAATGAGCGTAGGGGAAAATGAGATGGCTATGATTGATACAGGGAAAAAATCTCTGCTAAATTACCAATGAGATCCCCCTCCAAGATCAGCCCTTATTTGAAAGCCAATCCCTCCTCGAACCCCTAATAACCCTAATTTTGCGAAGATGTCGATTGAGAGGAGCTTCGAGCCTTGGGAGGAGATGCAACGCCATGGCCAAGACCTCGCAGACCGGCTCGCCCAAGGCTTCTCCGGCCTCATTCAGTCGCCGATGAGCCACACGTCTTTCGCATGGCCTTCTCCTCCTTCGAAATCTACCAACCCTTTCGATGCCGAAGCTATACTCGACATCGGAAATCGCCTCAGCCGTGCCGGCGCGGAGTTCGGCGCCAGTCTCAATGGTGTCGTGCACCAGTTCTTCCGGTGGTTGCCGGCACCTTTCCGGCAAGATGATGGTGGCATGGCTGGAAATGATCTGGCTTCTACTTTAATGGATGAAGCTGTTTTTGTGAGGCGAGGGGACAGCGATGGTATTACGTTGGTGGCGGAGCAGCTTGGCGATTGCAGGTTGCCCGATAATTTGGCGGCAGGAAGGTTGCAGCTTTGCCCCGATGAGGAGGGATTTGATTTGAGGGGTTCAGGACATTTTGGGAGGCCGCAGGTTGGTGTTTTCTGTTAATCTTGTTTTTATCCGTTACTCCTGCTGGTTCATGCTATTATGTGATATTCATTTTTTTTTATGAGTTGCCCCAAAACCCTGGCCAGAATCAGGGCAGATGCGTTTACCGCAAGTTTAGGAATCTAAATATTCCTAAATTTATATCTTTTACAGTAGCTACGAATGGATGATCTGATTTTTGTTCTCATGTTAGCTTAAGGGCCTCTTTGGCAACAAGTATGGATTTAAAATTAGTAGGATTTACTAAATCCTGTTAATCCGGATTTAGTTTCCTGACATGTTAAATCCTGAAAATTGTTTGGCAATATAGTTGTTAAATCTTGTTAAATTCTTTGAAACTATTTGACAATGTAATCTAGGATTTAAGTCGGTTAGTTCATTAAAAATTAAATTTAATGTATTTTGAATTTAATTTATGTGATAAATATGAATTCCTTATTAATTTAAATTTTAATTACCGCCAATGGTATTTTGATAATTCTCTAATTAATTAGTTAATTATTTTTTGAAATAACTAATTATTTAATTATAATCCTACTAATAATCTAATTAATTACTTAAATTAATTGGTTGGTTTTAATTATAAATTATACTATTAATTATCTTATTAATCATTTAAGTATTCAACTAATCATTAATTATTTAATTATTATTTACATTATTAATTATGTAATTAATATTCTCTATTTCAAATTATATTGATTAAGCTAATTATATTTTTAATTATTTTATGAAGCTAAATTAAATAATTAATTTATGCACTAATTATACTACTAATTTTAATTAATTAACTTAATTATCAATTTGAATTATATTAATTCAATTTACTTAGAATAATTTATTCTCAATAGCTTAGAGGCATTTAGGGTTTGCTTTTCTACTTAGTTGCTTTGCGTGAGGTAGAGTTTTGTACGAGTCGCTTCTTTGAATCCTTCATTGCTGTTCGACTTCGCTCCTTCGACGATGTTCTCTCCCTGTTAGATCGAAAGTCACGACATTTTGATCGGAAGCAATGATGGGAGCTTGCTCGCTATGAAGGTAACTATCTTTTTCCTTTCGTGAACTTCTTTAGTCAAATCCCATAAATTCGTGAAATTTCAGGATTTACTAAATCCGGGATTTACGGTAAAAAGGGGGAGAAGGAGGATTTATTTCTCCGTGAGATTTAGCAGACGCTCAAATCTCGTTTGGCTTAAATCCTGCTCAAAATAGGCATAATCCTATTACATCTTGCATCCAAACATACTCTAAGTGTGCCTAATCTTGGAATTCTGGGTGCTGGATGGCTTTCTTATCGTTGGTAATTATGTTGTTGAACCTTTTTTTTTCTGAAACTGAGTGATGCACATCAAGAATCCAAAAAAATGGCTCATCAGTGGCTAAACCAAGGATTATTTCCTTGAGAAGAACTTGTTACTTGTGTCAGAGGGTCTTTCCAAAGAAAAACAAATCCTCATATTGGTTGTTGACTTGTGGTTTCCAGAATTGTTGGTGTTCATGATTGCTCTTCAAGCTAAAATAGGTTCAACATCCAGTATCTATTGCATTGGTACCTTAGCATAGAGTATAGAGGCTCAAAATATGGCTAAAACCTTTTATCTTCACATGAATACTCACTTCTTAGAAAAATAAGATTTTGGCACTCTTTTGAACTTATTTTTTGTATTTTTGATATATTGCTAACAATAAATGCTGAGCTGTTTCATCATAATCAGTCGTTAGTAGGATCTACAGTTTCCTTGATATGTGTGTTGTGTTTTTTTAATTCTTTTCTTTTATTTCATTTATCTTGAGCTACTTAAATTTCAATAAAGGATTCAAATTGCAAGGATTCACTATAACAATGATCCATATTGTGCATTATATATGCTCTCTTTGTCTCCTTCAGATTGAATCATTTTTTACAAGGCGAACTAATTTTTTACTTGATCGAATGCTTTAGCATTGGCCATTAATGTGGGCCTATGATGCACAGACATGGACATGAATGCGACACAACACAAACACGAAAAACATTAATTGTTGAAAATATAGGACACAAGCAAGGGTTGAACACAATATTATAATTTTAATGTTTTAAAAAGTGTATAAAAATGAATATATATAATATTAAAAATAATTTAGAAATAATAATTCATTTAATTAGAATTTATGCTTAAAATGTTTAATATTAGGATGTTGAGAGTCGGATGTCGATGCAGTATATCAGACATCGAGAGAGAGGAGAAAACAATGCTGTCGAGAGTCAGGCATCGATGTTATGCAGTATGTATTAGGCGTCGATGTTGAGAGGGTAGCTGTTGTTGATGTTAAGACGACGTCAGACAAATATGAGCTGTCATGTTGTGGATGTAAAAATTGCTAATATCAAGCATCAATGTCAATATAGTGTCAAACTTTTATGTTGAGATGGTTTTGAAATGTTGATGTTGTAATGATTTGGACATCAATGTTAAGATGACATTGGGAATTTTTGTGAAACCAAGGTTGCGACCCACCAAAGAGAAATGAAAATGAGAATATTCGATGAGGCATTTATATTTTAACAAATTAGCAATTGATTCATGGTGGCAGGAGGTTTCTCCAAATAAGTGTGCCCTTTTTTGACGCTAGTCTATGAGGCTCCAAGTGCAATAAAAGCGTGCATGTATGGTTACCTATGTGCATGGAGAACTAGTTTGTATGAGCACACATGAAGTTATATGAGGCTATACATCAAGCTAAATGAATAAAGTTAAAGAGTAAAAGAGAATCTTACCAAGACAAATTCCTCCCACTTAAGAGGGCTGGGCGGTAACATGAACGGAGGATAATGTTTGCCTTTGCTCATCTTATTTTTTTTAGAGGTTAGTTTCAAAGACATTGCAATAAAAGAAAGGATTAGCCCAAGTTTCGTGCATAATAGGAACAATTTGAGTTAAAAAATACATGGGAAAGGAAAAATGTGCTACAGAAGGCCAAAAAGTTAATGGCAATGGCTCATTTTATACTCATAATAGATTCAGAGGCAAAAACACTCAACATTTGCAGAAATTCTAGATCGAATTATAAATTATTAACTATTGAGGAAAATGAAATTAGCATTTAACACTAGTAGTGATAAGATTTTGAAGTTTATAAGAAGGCTAGACCAAAATATTGCTTTTATCATTCGTAAACAAGGGGTGGAGTAGGTGAAGGAAGACCTCTTTGGTCTTAATGCCTAGGCCAAGCTATTTATAGTTTAAGTCATCTTTGACTCAGGAAGCAGATGAACTTGATTGCTGAAGAGTTAGTTTATATGCTAGGATTGGGTACAACTCCTCACCAATAACCCTACTCCTTAGGGTGAATTCCAATCCCAACTTGATCATGTACCTATCAAACAAAACCAAAATACTTACAATGCTTGCCCTAATTTTGTACTACTATTAGAGATGGAAGTAGAACCAAATTATATTTTATATCCCCCATGCTTAACTTTAATAAGAGTTAACAAATAAACATCCTTTTGCAGAAATTTTTTGAACTCTTCAAGGAGGTAAAAGGGTTACCTACAAAAATAGTTATAGAGTATGAACTTCAATTTGTGGAAGGAGCTCCAGTCCAAAATCATGTTAATTTAATTTTTGAAATTGACAAGATCATTGCTATCAATGGCGCAAAATAGCGCGCGCCATGGCGCACGGAGCGGCGCGGCACACCTACGGCGCCATGTTCATGGCGAGGCGCATGTGTTTAAAATAGCGCGAGCTATTTGCGCCACATGTGAGCCATGACGCATTGCGCACGGCGCAAAATAGCGCGCCATATTGTTTTTAAATTTCTGTATACTTATAAATATTTTTTATATTTAAAAATATATCTATATTTTAAGATAAACGACTATTCATTGCCCCCGTTAACAGGTATTGGCAAGATACAGTAGTAGGTGAAGGACTTGTAATTCATAAGAAGAGTTAGCTATTATGGATTGAAAATGGTTTTAGCACCAAAGGAGGATCGTAGATGGATACAGTGCATCCATTATAGTGCACTAAATAAATCAATATCAAGGCCCAATCACCAAATTTGAATACTAAGGGATGGGCATATTAATCACCGCTTTACGTCTCACCAAGGGCTATTTGAATGAACGGTTGAGATGCCTTCTGATTTATTTTCATGTGTCTGATAAGTGAGATATTATTCGTTCATCATAATGACTAAGCTATAAACAACTAATCCTCAATTTAAGTAGGAACATGAAACACTCGAGAATGGCAAGCTCGCTGCCTTTTACATGAAAGATGGTATGCTCTACCATGACCATTTAATTGTCAATCTATCTGGTAGTTTTTAGAATCACTTATATGTTATAAGCTTGCAGATCAAGCATAGCATGTCACTTTGGAGCACAGATGATGTTGTTGATTTTAAAAAGATATGCACAATGATGCTAAAATTGAAAATTGAAACACGTTGAAACTTCCTCTAAATTTGATTCAAAATCACTTCAAGGATATACCGACATTTACTTTTGTAAATTGATGATAAAAAAGTAGGCTAAGGAATTGTGCACAAGACTATTACCTATTATGAATTTTGAATTGTTCTTGTAGCTAAGAGGGATATGCATTGATTATGGAGTGCAGAACAAAAGCGCTATAGAAAGGACATTATAATGATCATGTAATTATTTAAGTTGGATCTCATGGAGGGGTGCCACCAAGGCATTTGAAAGTTTGTATTACAAGGACTGACTCACTACGGGTTATTTAAATGGAAGTTGATGCTGTTTGATCAATGATTGAGATCTTGCTCTTGCATCATAAAGATTATAGTGAGGATATTGAATCGACCCTAAGTTTAAGGAGGAACTCAAAACAACCGAGAAGAGCAAGTTGTCAACCTTTTTCAAAAAAGATGGCCGACTCATCCATGGCGCCGTTCAATTGGCAATCACTCAAGGAGTTGAGTGAATCACCTAGATGCTAGAGGTTTATACATAAAGTATGACAGAG